CCCCCCCCCCCTCCCGTTTTCTCCAGGTGGAAGCGCCTCCAAGACAGCCATCTTCTGGGTCGAAACGAAAGTCGAAACCCCGTACCAGCAAACCGGGCGTGGGTAGCTCGAAATTCGAGGCGAAGAGCCCGAAAGTAAGCGGTGACGGCAGCAGAAAGGGCGGCGGCCGGTCTAGAGCGGCGCCGAACCCGGCGAAGGCCGCAGCCGACAAGGCCGCCAAGGCCGCTGCGAAGGCCCGGAAAAACGCGGAGGAGAAGAAGCGAAAAGCGGAGGAGGCGGCGAGGGCCGCGGAAGCCCTCGCCGCCACCCAGAACCCTCTCACCTTCGACGAGAAGAAGGCTCTAAGCGTGGCGATCAACAATCTGGACCAGTCTAACCTCACCCGCGTCGTGGAGATCATCCAGGCGCGAATGCCTCTCGGGAGCTCCGACGAGGAGATCGAGCTTGACATCGACTCCATGGACAACCTCACCCTACGGGACCTCCAGGGCTTCATCAAGGACGTCAGCGACAAGGGCGGGGGACGAAGAGGCGGGGGCAGTGTAGACTCCGACTCCGACGGCGAACAGTGGTGACAAACGACGACGTGATGATGATTTTGGTGTGACGGTTTTGTGGGTGTATCGATGCCTGGCGGGAGGGCCGGCGGTGGCGGGTGGGTGGGTGCCTGCTGGGCCCGCGCGCGGGCGGCAGGATCTTGCAGTGGTTGTGTGTTGTGTGTGTTTTTTCGTGCGGTCAAAGCGACCGGCTTGACTTGTTAAGGAAGAGGTAAAGGTGGGGGGAGGGGGGGGATTGAAACCGGGAAATCGGTACATACAGCAGCAGTTAGTCGTTGGTCTCGTTTCTGTTCTATCGGGTGGGACCGATCTGGACGACAAAACCATTCGTGGCAAGGAAAATGGGATGGAATTTTTGCCATGGAACGCGGCGCGACTGTGGCCTGCCCGTCGTATTTTCTTGGATCGTACAGGGTCTTGGTCCCCGAACCGCCCAAATCGGGCTGGTTCTGTTGCTCACTGCTTTGGGCAGAACAAGAAAAGTGGCCAGCAGGCAACATTGTCAGAACATGCGCTCCTCCGCTCGCTGCAGTTGTTCTTGCTGGCCGCCAATTGTCGGTTGATGGCAGTTGCTGATGGCGTCGGTGCCAGGAAAGATTTGAAACTGAAAACTGCACTGCCGCTGTTGTGGAAAAAAAACAAAGCCGAACCGAAGTACTTCAGGTCTTTTTGGGTGGTAACTTGGCGAGGGATAGGGCAAAGATGAGACCGGTATTTTTGGGCAAGCGCGGCTTTTTTCGGGTGCTTTGCATTACATGTATGCATATGCTTGCAGGGCTGAATGTATGTTAGAGAGAGGGTTCCTGCGGGAGCGGGAGCGGGGGCTGGCAATCCCGTGCGTTGATTGACTCAGGCTGACGAGCCTTCTCAACTCTTTACTCGTTCATCGCTGGACGTGTTCGTTGTTGTTGTGCTTTTTGGGAGCTGAATAGACGGGAGTAGCAGTGAGAGAACGCGCGCTTTTGATGCCGCTCCCTCTTGCCCCTCACGCACGGCATGCGTGTTGGTTTGGGCCTCTTTTGTATCCCTGCCCTTCTTTGTGCAACGAGGCCCTCGCATTCGCTCTGTGTTTCGACTCGAACTCGGCATGTTTCCCTTTCCTTGGCCCTGCTGTCGTGAAGGTGCTGTGGGTGAAAAAGGTTCGAAATGACAATGAAAATCACACGGTACGAACTATGGAACCGAACGCTGGGTGCATGCATTCGTGATCGGTGGAAATCGGAACAACCGTCAGTGATCCATGTGATCTTGTTTGGGTTGCACTTGTTGCCGCCCGACGTCAAGGAATAAATGGGTAGAGGTTGTTGATGCTGCGTGCGTGCGTTCGTTGTTAGTGCTGTACGGCTGACTGCAGAGGAGGGGCGTGCTGTTTGGCTGTGGGTAAGCTGGCACGACGATGGGTTGCACATGGCTCAGCCGGCACGGTCGAGGTGTATACTCTCGCCCGTCCGTCGTCTGTCTTGTCTTCGCGTGGTAAGCGTTGTCCATCTCTTTTAACCACGTGCTCTGTGTCGCTGTGCCTGCCAGCAAATCGAGGCGTGCCACTAAAAAGAGGTGGTAGAGGGGAAGGGCGTGACCTGTTGACATTCCGCAGAATTAACGCAGGCCTTCTTGGATAAGAGAGGCAAGGGGGGGAGGAAATGTGCCACAAGCAAAAAACAATCGGGTGTGTGTGTACACTACACGCACCGAGTTTCTTCTCTGCTCTCTGCTTGGGAGGAAGTCTTGGGGATTGACTGTGCTTCTAACTGTCGCGAGCGGGGGGGCGGGGACGGGGGCGGGCGGGCACCTCCTTTCTTGGTGACGAAACGTCGTAGGCACGCATGTACGCCCGGCCGAGTGGACCATGCAAGGAGCTTGGCAATAACATAGAACTGCTGCATTGAGGGAGAATGAACGCCGGTGAAAGAGCGCAACGTTAGGCTACGGAGCCATTGTAAGTTCTCAACCGTTGGGGCCGGGGGGGAACAATGACAACACGCAACGGCAGTAGTAGTAGTAGTGGTGGTGGTTTTTGACAACGTGGTGGATAAGAAAGGATAAATGACAAGGACTATTTTTTGTGCGGGAGAAGCCAGTAGGCCCGAGAACGCAAACAAAAGAGAGATCATGGTTTGTTTGTCGGTCCCCTCCGTTGCATCGTACGTGTGGATTTCATTGCGGTTCGGTTATTATTTATTAAGGAAGACCTGAGAAAAAACGACTTGGGGTACTCCCGGGTTGAGGACATTCATTCACGCATCGACCTTGAAACGCTCTGGTCTTGATACTTTCCTTGTCACTGTTGGAGGTTTGGTAGTCTACGCCAGCAGCCACACCAGCAGTGGTTTGTGTACCATACATGGCGAAAAAATGGCTCGATCGTGTTGGCGCAAGAAGCGTGATCGAGATATATATATGCATGCAGATGGCATGAACTGAAGGAAAGGAAAAAACACAAGTAGGTGCACCACCAAAAGTAATGAGGGGTGACTGAAACGAAATGTCTCTTGTGAAAATCATGGGTGTCGGACCCATCGAAACATAGGAGATTAGTCTACCGTATGTATATGACACAAGATAACACACCTCCTTGGCCGATTTTCAAAGCTCGATTTCTCAACTGCAGGAACAGTCACAGCGCCGAAAACGGCGGCATTGAAACCGTCTCGCTGAGAGCTTTTCGAAAATGTATCACTTCGTTTATGCATCCTCTTCGTCGTGGCGTAATCGAGCTTTGAAAATCGGTCCAGGGGGTGTTTTATCTTGTGTCATATACGGTAGTCATGAATGCGTGTCACTATGCTTACAACAGACGGCGCACGGCCCCCAATTTTTTTATCCTTTTTGACGATTTTTCAGCTCAACATCCTGACTTGAGCTTCAACGTGTCGAGTGCTGTGATGATGTGCGCGCCACTGAAGCACCCAAACACCTAACTGTCCTCCGCCGACAACACAAAATAATCCTTCGAAGCGCTCCAAAGAGCACATTTTCCAAGCCTCAAGTCTCTGGAGGATGTTGTCTTCAGTACAATTAACCGATGTGCAGTGTAGCAGTGGTCCAACTATTTCATGAAGTGCGTGCGACCCATTCTGAGGAACGCCCGAAGCCCAGCACGGCGCATACTACCTGCATTGCATTGAGCCCCCATGCCTCACACGGACACGCACAGAGCTCAGCGTGCCAAAGGGGGGGGGGCGGCATACGAGATTACATTTGAAAAACCCAATTTCGCCTACCATTTGTATCACAAAAAATACAAAATTAGGGGGGACAGGGATTGAAGGTGCCCCGCTGTCCCGCTCACACGCGCACGTTGACATATCGCTCTGTTCCGCCCTCGTCTGTTCTTGGCTTCGCGCTTGCCGCCTCCAGCTCACGTGCAACTGGGCTCTCGACTTCAAGGTGAGGCGGTGGGGGGTTGCAAGAGTTTTTGGTCTCAAGATGTCGTTGACGCCGAGCTGTTGGTTTACGCTGAAGAGATGTTGGATGTTCTCTTGTGTTGCGAGCAGCAACACCAAGAGCATGCAGCGTACTCAGCATCGGGGCCTAGGTTCAGATATGTTGGGATGGGAACTATGGTGCGTATTTGGGTTTCCTATTATCTCTTGGTTTGTTTATTTGGATCACGTCTAAAGATGGCTTGTGCCAGTGTAACACTTTGTAACACTAGCGTTCGCAAACACCCATGGTAGTGAAGTCCGTGCAGCAGTAGTTCGTGCATCTATAGGGCGTACGACTTTGCGTGAGAGGTGAGAAACAGGTGAGGATGTTGACTGACACCAGTGGAATCAGTTTTGCTGTTCTTGTTGCACTCTTGCTATCTCTACTCTTCCCCCCTCCCACCCTCTCGCTCTGCTGACTCTCTCCCTCTCTATCTTGCCCCATTCACAATTCAAGACAGTGTCAGGACTTAGATTGCGCCGCCTTTTTTTTGTTTGCACTGGGTATCGATCTCCGATCTCGCGAACGCTGTAGGCCACCGTTTGGAGTACTGAAAGCAGGGACGAGTAGCTGTGGTGCTCAGCTATCGTTTGGTGTGAAGAACGTGTGGATGCTGGCTGCGTGCGACTTCTTTGGTCCAAAAGTGTAGTATTTTTTTCGATGGCATGCTGCCGAAAGATACATCTTTACGCAGCCCTCCCCGACAACGTCCCGTCAGAGCAGACCTTCCACAACGCGTATCTGCAGCCCCCACAGCCCAACATCGCCAACGAAAAAGCACACTGAGACACTGTCGATAGATAGCGACCCGTACGAGATCTTTGTCCTATCTTCATAGTATCCGATGAACCCGTCTTCTCCTTCAAACAGCGGATCTTGAACACAGCGAACAGGTTGTACACAGTCGGAGCGACGGCATACGCATTCCCCAGCGGTGAGAGGCCTTGTCACCAGATCACGGTCATGGACCCATCCTTCACCGACCTGCGCAGCCCACTCCTGCAGAGTCGCCCAGTTGGGGCCGTCCCCCACGTGCTTCCACCTCCCACCTGGTCCTGGCCCAACCCGCCCACCCGCGAAGCAAAGCATCTCACCACCTTCGGACGGTTCGCCGTGTACGTCTCGCCCGCACCCCGCAAGAGGACCTTTCTTGACCTTTTGGCGTGAAAACCCGCCGCCTGTGCAGGTGGGCAAATCTCTGAGTTCTCCATCCACAGACCTTGAACCAGAGTTCTGGCGGGTGATACAGAAAGCCCACAACCTTGGCTGCTTGTATCACCAGCAGTTCTCAGTAAAAAGATATGTGCCCACTACGGACAAGCTGTCAAGTGCACGGGGGTTGGACCGGTTGAAGCTCTGGGCAGGTCGACCGTCGGGGCGTTATCACACACCCGCACCGGTAAACGGCCACGTGAAACCACCTCTAATACCACCGCGGTGTACGCACAGGTAAGTGTAGTGTGCTGTTTCGTTGGCGATGTTGGGCTGTGGGGGCTGCAGATGCGCGTTGTGAAAGGTCCGCTCTGGCGGGACGTTGTCCGGGAGGGCTGCGTAGGATGTATCCCCGGCTGGAGGTATGCCTGATTCTCTCTTTCGGCATCATGCCATCGAAAAAAATACTACACTTTTGGGCCAAAGAAGTCGCACGCAGCCAGCATCCACACGTTCTTCACACCAAACGATAGCTGAGCACCACAGCTACTCGTCCCTGCTTTCAATACTCCAAACGGTGGCCTACAGCTTTCGCGAGATCGATACCCAGTGCAAAAAAAAAAGGCGGCGCAATCCAAAGTCCTGGCACTGAAGATTCAAGATACAGCGGCGGTGGTCGGGTCTCGCAGATTGTACTGCATTGCGGCGGGGGAGGGGGGGGGGTTGTGGCACCCTCTTATCGCTACCACCAGTAACAACAATAAATACAGCACGCTCTTCCGCTCGTGTGCTCGTGTGCTCATGTGTTCCGATCAACCAACACCGTAGACCGTATGTATAGAAGCCATAACAACCCATGAGAAATGTTCGAAGCTACGAGTAGCTCCGTCTTGTAGATGTTGATTTACCTTCCCCGGCCACTGGGCAGATACAATCAGCAGTGCGCCACTCTGTTTCGGGTACATGGTCCGTGGCTACTCATACGATATGCATGCGTACGATACGGCAGTTCTATTACCAGATTACCTCATTTCTGCGCTCTCAAACACAGACGCAACGAAGCCCGAATCTTTTATAAATTTTGTGAATCACACTAATCGAAGTCTGCTGCACCAGGAAGCTCGTTGGATGCTCCTCCGCGTTCCACCGGACTTTGATAGACGTCCCCTTTTGTCCTTTCATCTGTTCAAAATTTGCACGCGTATCCCATCCGCCCTTTGCTTCCTGCCCTCTCTCCGCTGTTCTAGTAGGCGAGGAAGGCCACTCTTTCGGCGTACATCCAAGAAGAGTCCAACAAGAGTCCATCTACCGACGGACTTAGAAGAGCACAGCATCCAGCGCTCAGACGGTTACCCAGACGGTTACCCAGACGGTTACCGGCCCGCCGCCAACCATGGGCCGCAGCAGCCGCCGGAGTCGGAGCCGCAGCGAGTCGCGGGAGCGCGGTAGCAGCAGCACGACGAGCAAGAAAAAAAAGTCGGACAAAGAAAAGAAGAAAAGCTCCTCATCCTCCTCCTCGGCCAAAAACGGCGGCGGCGGCGGCGGCGGCGGTGGCAGTCGAAGCCGTTCGCGTGAGCGTGGCGGGAAGAGTGAATCATCCTCACGAAGAGGAGGCGGCGGGGGGCACCACGACAGAGAGCGCGATCGAAGTAGGGATCGCGACAGGGACAGGGACAGGGACAGGGACAGGCATCACCGTGACAAGGACCGGAAGGGCAGTGGCCGTAGCAGGAGGGATGATGACGGCGACCGTCGTGACGGGAGCAGAGACCGTAAGCGCTCGAGGGGAAGCGACAAGGACGGGAGGAATCGCGGCGGTGGTGACCGGGGGAGCAGCGGTAACCCGGAAGAGATGTGGAAAAGGAAGCTGCAGGACGAAGACGAGCAGCTGAAGGATCTCGACCTAGATTCGCTCATGGTGGACGAAGAGGAGGAAGAAAGGCGCCTGGCAGAGGTGAGGGGAGTGGGGGGCAAGGCACTGACTGGCCCATTTTGAGGTTTTAGCGGCAACGAACGGTCCGATTTCGTTTCGAGCAACCCAGCCGAGTCTGTATACTTAGAACAACATCAAGCATGACCACGGTCCCGGTGTTAACTGCTGTTGCAGTTTCTTTCTTGGCCGCGTTTGGAGAGTGCAACGGCAAGCAGGTGGTAAGAGATGGGCGGGGCTACAATTGTGGAGAGTGTTTTTCGACCGCGTCGGGAAGTGGGTTATGATGGTGAGGTAGTCTTGGCCCTTGCCTAAACAGCGTTCAAGACGATACATTATTGTCCACGACAGCAATTGGTATCGTGGGGTTGACGCTGCCTCTTGGGTGACATCGATTACACTGTTGTAGCCGCGCAATTTGGCGTTGCTGTTCAATTGCCCGCCTCCCCCCCTGTGTGTATTCATCTCCCTCGCTCCCTCTGCCTCCCTCTCCCTTTCTCTCTGTCTCTCTCTGTCGCTCTCCCCCTCTCTCCCTTCAGCAACGGAGGAAGAGGAAAGAGAAGCTGGAAGCCCTGCAAAAACGAAAGAAAGCTGAGGAAGAGGCAGCAGTAGCCGTCAGCACCACGTCCAGCGCAAAGGCATCCCCTCAAAGCCAGGACAACACAACCAACGGAGACCTCGCCGCGGCAAACAACGGTGGGTGTCGGGTGTGTCCATCCAAGTTTGGTTTTTCATACGATAGGTCAACCTCCGCAGCTGCAATCCACAC